GGTGACATCTTTGTTTTTTTAATACTTTAAAGAGAACTTTTGCAGCGTATTTTCCCAATGCAATATATTTGATTTCTCGATTGCTGCTTTCATGGGTGTTGATTTGGGATCCAAGTAAAATGAAATCAACAACTTCAATCTTTTCTCCATTTGTCATGATATTTCTTATCAGTCCAGTTATGAGGATTTTTCTTTTCTTTATGTTGAAGTGTAGCCTGTACTGAAGGCTGCAATCTTTGATCTTCGTCAGTAAGTATTTCAGGTCATCTTCACTTTCATTGAGCAAAGTTGAGTCATCGGCATATCAAAGGTTGTTAATGAACCTCCCTTGAATCCCGATGCCATGTTCTTCCTCATATAATCCACCTTCTGGAATTATTTACTCAGCATGCAGATTGAACAAGTATGGTGAAAGGATATAACTCTGACACAGACCTTTCCTAATTTTAAACTATGAAGTTTCCTCTTTTCCTGGTCACATGACTACCTCTTGGTCTATGTACAGGTTCTGCATGAATACAATTAAGTGTTCTTAAAGATTACACCTTGGAAAACCCTATGGCAAAGTTCTACTCTTTTACATGGGATCATTAGGAGTTGAAATTTACTAGACAACAGCTAACAATAATAACAACTATACTGGACACTTATTGCTCATGCTTTAGGATTCAATTCATCATTATGTTCTAGGAGGCCCTTTCTCATGGACATGGACAGAACTAAGGACTGGCTTATATATTCTCACATAGCTCCTTCTTTGTAACTCTATAAAGTTCTTGTCTTTTTATATTGAAATTTTCCATTTCTCCTTCTGTCCCCCCTGCTACTCAGTAAAGAGGGAAACGTAGCTCATTTTAGTTGTAATTATATCTTCAGAGCTCAACATAGTGAACGGCACAAATAAGACTAGCAGCATTTTCTAATGGAACTGAATCACAGGCCATCCCATTTAGCTGTCTAGTAAGAAGTCAGAAATGCAAGCACAGAAGTTGAATCCAGCTCTCTCATTTAATCCATGACTCATGTTAACGTGAAACCAGCGGATTCTTTTTTTTTTTTTTTTTTAATGTTTTTATTGTGATTTGGGTGCAAATTTACAAGCAGATTCATTTTACTCTCAACAGTTTCTGTGCATTTGGTTTCATGGCCCTGATTACAGTCCCCAACCATAAAAAGCTCTCCTCCCATCTCCTCCCTGTGACTACACTTTCCATGTGCCTTACTTATCTATGCATTCATGTCTGTCTAGCTTTCCCTCTATGCAAATGCTGCCTTTCTGTTGTCTCATGGTTGATTGAACTAAAGGGTAAATCTCCCTGGGGTGGGTGTTTTGCTTGTAGATCTTTCTACTGTTTGGCTGAGAGCTAATCCACGGAAGTGTTTCCAATTCTAGGCCTGAAGGATAAACCGGGCTGTAATCTCGGGGGTTCCACCAGCCTGTATCTGACCAGTAATTCTGGTCATTTTGGTGGTTTTGAATTTTGTTTCACAGTTTTCCTCCCACTCTATCCAGGAGCTCCTATTTTGGTCTCATTCCAAGTGTTTGGCATTGGTAGTTGGACACCATCTAGTTCTTCTGGTCTCAGAGTCATGAAGGCTGAGGTCTCTGTGGTCCATTATATCCTTGGACTAATTGTTTCTAAATGACTTTGATTTTCTTCACTCTTCTTTGCTCCAGACATATGGAGACCAGTAGTTGCATCTTAGATGGCCTCTTGAAAGTTCTTAAGACACCAGTTGCTAGTCACCAAAGTAAGATGTGGAACAGGATTTTTATGTGCCAATTGAGCATGATGTCCCTGAAGATTATGGTCCTGAGCCCACAGGCCCAGTAACTCTCTCCCTCAAGGTATCTGGTTTTCTCTGAGAAGCTATTCCAACCTTGTTCCCTGATACTTCTGTAATGTACATGGATATTTTTGTAACACAAACCCATACATAAGACTATCTTCAGCCAAATCTATCCTTGGTCTTGGATACATTCCTGTTTGCCTATCCACACTTGATCTTCTCACCTATCTATACATTTAACCATAACCTCGTGTTTGCTGCCACTGGTAATGCAGTATTGTACATATAATAGTATTTGCCTCTGTTGTCTATATCTTTTGTGCATGTTTCTGTGTCCTCCTTTGCACTTTTGTCATTGTGCCAGTCACACACTTGTTATATTGCCTTTTCCTTCACCCAAATCAACATGTAACTCTTAACTAGTCAGAAATGTTCCCTCCCTTTTCCTCTCATCCCTGGTAACCAACAAAGTAAATATCTTTCCTTGTGTAAACCTGTCCTTGACTTTTTACAATAATGGGCTCATTCAATATTAGTTCTTCTGTGATTGACTTATTTTACTCAGCATAATATGTTCCAAATTCATCCACATTATGATGTGATTCATGAATTCTTCATTATTCTTTAATGTTGCATAGTATTCCAGTATGTGAATGTACCATAGTTTGGTTATCAGTTTATCTGTTGATGAGGACTTAGGTTGTTTCTATCTCTTTGTTATAGTGAATTGGGCTGCAGTGAACATGGCTGTGCATATGTCTGTTCATGTTCTGTATCTCACCTCTTTAGGATATATTTCTAGTAATGGAATTGCTGGATCAAATGATATTTCTATTTTCAATTTTTTAAGGAAACACCATACCATTTTCCACAGTGGCTATACAATTTTACAGTTCCACCAGCAGTGTATGAGAGTTCCAATCTCTCCATACCCTCACCAGCATTTGCTATTTTCTGTTTTATTGAACTTTGCTACTACTGTTGAAAGCAGCAAATTATTTGTGTTCATTCAAAGGTTATACCAAAAAGTTCCCTGAAAGTATTAAAAACTATGTGCCTCCAAAAAGTAAGTTTGATATTTATGTTCAAGGTAAATAAGTTATAAAAACAAGACATGCTACAAATTTTTCTATGATTTTGTCATCAGTTATAACATGCAAACTTGAAAATATTATCAAGATAATGCAAGTTTGAAAAACATTTTGTAAGTTTTCAATTGAAAAAGCTTAGAGATTTCTTGAACCCCCAAGAGTTGGGATCATTTAGTTGTCATCTTTTATTTATGTTCAGTCATGGCCTACATGGTTATGTCTGAGATGGTACATGTTCATGCTTACATTTTCTAGGAAAGAGCTGTTTTGGGCTTGGTCCCAGAAGATCTTTTTTGATTAACATCCTGGCGCTACCACTGAGCAGACTTTTGACCTTATGCCTCCCTGATCCTTAGCTGAATTCTCTGTAAAATGACTATAAAACTGTATGCTCATACTTCTCTTAAGAAGCTCTGGTGGCACAGTGCCTAATGTATTTGACTGCTAACTAGAAGGTTGGTGGTTCAAACTCACCAACCACTCCCTGGAAGGAAGATGGGCAGTCTACTTCTGTAAAGATTTACTGCCTCCGGAAACCCAATGGGGGTTGTTGTGAGTTGGAATTGACTTGATGGCAGTGAGTTTGGTTGTTGGTAAGGCTTTCTTGGATCAGGGTTCTATGAATAATCTCTGCAAGGTACAAGTCCCCCTCAAAAAACATGTTTCTGGATCCAAATGTTATAAACTAACACATGTCCCCTTGAATGTATGTTTATACCTTTCACTGCTTTTTACTTTATTTTCAAGGTCTCTGTGTGATTTGCACATGACTATAACAACTGGTCTACCTCTAATAACATGATTCTGGAACCAGTGTGGTTTAAAATAGCCCACATTTCCTTTAAAAGTGTGTTTGAGCCTTTTTCTTTTTCATGTTTTTGGTTTTAAAGTCTCTGTGTGACTTGAGCATGACCATAACAACTGGTCTGACTATTAGTAGCAGTTCATTTACTAACATCTATACACTCTTTGGAGAGTTCTGATGGTGTAGTGCCAAAGGCACCTGCTAACCAGAAGGCTGGTGGTTCAAATTCAGCAGCCACTCCTCGGAAGGAAGGTTGGCTGATCTACTTCCGTAGTGATATCGCCTCGGAAACTCAAGGAGGGGTCCCTATGAGTTGCAATCAACTCAACGACAGTGAGTGTCTGTTTGTTTGTTTTATATGCTCTTTTTACTGAAGCCTATTTTGTGAGTCCTGTTTTAGATCACTCGGGTCCTTTTCAGATTTTTCATGAGTGAGCTAATGGTTTAGTTGCAGGGTACTTAGAGTCATGTCCTGAAGCCTTCTGTGTGGGATAACTACATTCACATTTGATTAAAGGGATTTGCTAACTAGATCAAGAAATATGCATGGGAGATTTTGGAAATTCTTCTCACAAATTGTCTGTGGTAAGAAATCCCATGAAAGAACTCTGGGCCCCAAGATTCTGACTTTCCTCCAAGTAGAAGCTTACTCAACTTTCTGTGCCTTTCCCCATCCCTTGGAGACACGTCATGCTGACACCTTGCTCCTGCATCCCCGGGTATGGTGTAGCTGAGGTTGCTGCAGCAACAGTACACAAGAGGTAACATTCTTCCATAATGGCAGTGGCTGGTATATGAGTCAGTGAAAAGGTTCATTGGGTTTTTATTAGAGTATGATGCAGTCCCATGTCATCTACAGTTCTTCTATCCAAGACTCACATACTTGATGCTAATCACCATCAAATGTTAGCTGGTCCACGGCTTCTCCCTAAAGCTACTGAGCTTGCTGCCTCTTCCACAGCACTCCTTACTAATACCTACAATAAGAGGCCAAAATTGGCACTCAGGCCACATGCTTTGACCTCGGTTTCTACTCTTTGGTATCCTGTGCACTTAGTAAGCAAGAGTGATCTTGATTGATTGTTCAGGAAGTTCTTCTTTTTCCCCAGAGAACTGAATAGTGGTTAACATCTGCCTCCCAGAAGATGTATTTTCTGCCCAGTGGTTGGGAAGAACATGTGCTGAAGAATAAGCATGAAATTACTGTAATGCTCTATGGGGATTTGTGAAAGTGGAACTTACTATTTAATATTGATGAAAGGGAGTCAAAGAATATTGGTAGTTTCTAATACAGGATTTGGTTTATTTTTCAGACATGGAGATGACTTGATTGTGACTCCATTTGCTCAGGTAAGCACAGCTTGGTGAATGAACAGGTTTCCTACAGATCCGAAAATTTAATTTGGGATATTAGTTTCTGGTTCTCAATTTCATTTTAGATCAAATACAAGAAATACAAATTCTGTGGTTCATTCCAGTAATATAAAAGCAATGCTAGAGTGTGTGCCCTTGGCCATATTGATCTGTTTCAATAAACCATAGATCTAAAAACTATCTTTTCTTCAAATAATCAATCATGTAAGTGATATAAATAAATGGGACTATATTTCCTTAACTGACATAAACACTACAGGCAGAAGGCTATACATAGTTAAATCACACCTAATATGCTTGTTTGGTGTTTGAAATTCAAGAATCCAATTTGACCTTATGTTGTATTTACCTGCTTTTACATTTGTCTGTGTGCAAAGATTTAACTGTGGGATATGTCTGTGTTTATTTTTTCCTTATAAGTATATAAATCATGAAAATATTTTAACCACATGGAAGAAATATAAGAAGGCGATGAGATGATTGAATGCATTTCGTAATATATATAACAGCACTGATGACCGGGCAATCTTGTATGGGCTGGCACTTCTCAACCCTGGCTATGCATATGAATCCCTGAGAGCTCTTATCCCAATGCCCAGGCTGTGCCTCAGAACAATTAAAGCTGAAAATCTTGTGGTGGGATCATCCAAGCATCAATATTTTTTAGTCGGCTCCCTATGATTTCAGTGCATAACTAAGATTGAAAACCACTGGTATAGACACACTAGAGACAAATGGGATTAAAGTTATTTAACTTGTGGCTTAAAGTAGGTTTACAGCCAGCACTGACTGACAAGAAATGTTACATATTGGGTGATCTTGAGAGGTTATAAAGTTTATAATCAGCACCACATTCATAACTAGCTATAGGCATTGGGCAACTCATTTAACTTGTCTAGGACTTTTTCTCCCAGTAGATAAAATGAAGGGACTAGACTGGATGAAAGCATTAAGAGGAAGTCTGCATGGGGTTCCAATCTCTTCACCTCCCCTCCCTAACTACAAGATCTTAGATGAATTATCAAATCTTGCTAAGCTTCAGTTTCCTCCTCTGTTAACTGAAAAAATAGCAAGGGCATCCACCTTATAAGGTTGTTAAGAGACTGAAATAATATAGAGCATATAAAATGCTTAGCATAATTTTTAGAAAATAAGGTACTTAATAAATTTTTAGTGTTAATATCAGAAAATCTTCAAGGGTTCTTCCATAGCTAGAATGTCATAAAAAATATTGTTTAAAAAAGTAAAGAATAGCAGTGTTTGCCTGGTAGAATTATGTTTAATTGTTTTACTTTTTAAAATTTCCTGATATTTTATGTTCCTGCTGTAAATGAAACCAAAAATATAATAAATAGCGTAATGTATAATAGTGATATTTTTCATTACCACTGGCATTTAAAAATAGTACCACCATCCCTTTCTGATGTGTAAGTCTTGTCTGCTTAAGGGTTTGCTGGAGAATATGAGCTCTTTCTAGTGTATATACTTCTATGTTTAAAAAATTTAATTCATATGCTTTTATCATCATTTGTGATAGCATCATCTTATAAAGCTAAAGATTTTTAATTTTTATTAATTTTAATTTGGAACTCATCATTTTATATATAAGAACCAAGGACCATGTGAACAGATAAAGTCAGGCAAAATAATATAAATAATAACCATCAACAATTGTAGAAGCAATCCTGCTACTTTGGGTTTATTCTGATATCTTATCTTACTTCTAATCAACTCAAGGGCAGTGAGTTTGGTTTTTTGGTTTATCTTACTTCTAATAAAAATCTTTAGATATTGTTGTAAGAGAAAATATATCTACATATATAGTAAAATGTGTAAAGTATAGTGTGTATATGATGTCTTATCTACTTACTTCAAGTAGTATTTATTAATCTTCCATACCAAACCAAAAAAACTAAACTCACTGCTGTTGAGTCTCCTTGAATTTCCATGGCAATATCACTACAGAAGTAGATTGCCCAATCTTCCTTCTGAGGAATAGCTGGTGGGTTTGAACCACCAGCCTTCTGGTTAATACTCAAATGCGTTAGGCACTATGGGACCAGAACTCCTTCCATAGTGGATTAAATTTGACTTGGTCTCTATTAGTTTTACTCTTAAATTACTCTGCTCTTTTACATAATTAGACATTTTCTATAGTATAATTTAAAAAAAATAATAACAGAATTCCATAAATTGGGAAAAATATGTAAACATTGTTTAGTCTATGTTAAACTATTTAAATAATGAATATGTGTACTTAATACCTTTGAAATTGAACTTCGAACATAACCAAACTTTGTGTTATATATAGGCACATCAGATACCTGAAAACAATCCCAAAGTGTATTTAGAAGATCTTATTTATGATTAGCTAAATTACTCCTAACATCTTATAAAGAGGGTGGTCATTGCCCTCAAAGCCTACAGAATTTTTTTTTTTTAAAGCGGTTTCATCACAGTTTTCACAAATGACCCATCACTTGGGATACTGCCTAGAAAGTTCTACTAGAATTAAACAAAGAAAAAATCTATTAAACCCTGAACAACTTCATCAGTAATAGAGCAACCTTGGGAAAACAAAGGCCTAGCTACAGCCAATCAGTTTGTGGCTTTCTATTAAGCACAGTTGGGCAAAACTAACATATTTTGTTGTCCTAACCCCTGATGTCTCAAAACTTCCACTATAGGATAGCGCAATTGTCATTTAATGCTACAGGCATACCTTGTTTTCATTGCACTTCACTTTATTATACTTCACAAACACTGCATTTTTTTATAAATTGAAGATTTATGGCAACTCTGCATTGAGTAACTCTATTGGCACTATTTTTCCAACAGTGTATGCTCACTTTTTAACTCTCTCTCACATTTTGTTAATAATTCTTACAATATTTCAGTCTTTTGCATACTGCTATTGTATAGTTAATTGTCTCTCACTCACTGCCATCAAGTCGAACCTGACTCATAGCAACCCCTCCTTGGGTTTCTGAGGCAGTATCTCTATAGTATAAACATAACTTTTAGCAACCGAACCTGCAGTATCTCTGAAGTATGCCTGTACATATTATAATGCTAAAAATATAAAATATTCCTGTCACTTGGAAACAAATAATGCCACAGTAGAAAGGCCTACAAGCAGAACACTTGCCCCAGGGAAATGCACTCACCTACGCTAGGGAGGGGAGCTCTGGTAGCATAGTGGCTAAGACACTTGCCTGCTAACCAGACGGCTGGCGGTTCAAACCCACCAGCCACTCCTCAGAAGGAAGGTTG